TCCTTCTAAATAATAAAATCTATAACTGTAACTTATACTAGAAATCCCGTAAGTCGATTCATTCCACAAGAATTCTGCTCTTTTTCGTCCACGTTGCATGTCGTTCTCCTCTTCTTATTCTCCATTCCTTCCAGTAAACTCTGCATGCTATGCCTGTAAGACGAAACAACCTCGTAAAATGAGGACTCTAAGACCAGAAACAGAACCGATACAAAGTCACAGATAGACTTGGCTTTCACGATTCTTTAAAACCTTCGAGGTGGCTGGTATTAACACCATAACTACGAGCCGCAACTATTTTTCTCGAGCCATGGGCAACACTTTTCCCTCAAAATCTTTGTTTGTACACTCGTAAAATACGCGCACTCGAGAAAATCGAGCAAAGAAGGAAGCTTCCTCGTGATGGCGTGGAACAAGTGGAAGTTGCGCGACAAAGAGATCGAAACCGAGTATTATCTCGAATGCATCGAGAATATTTCGAGACGAACTCGTTGGTCACGCGCTCTTCTTTTTCTTTTCGCCTCGTCGTTTTCGCTTTTCCTCTGAGATCGCTCGTTTCCGCGCCGGAAATTGCGGTTGCATCGTTGGGAAGATAAACCTCTGTCGAGGATATATTTGCGAATCTATGCTCATTGTATAATATATTAGCATTGATTTTTTTCTTTTTTTTATTTCGAAATTATTTGATTCGCATAAATGAAAGAAGAATATACTTGAGATTTTGGGAAACAAAAAGTGTGATATCAAAGATCTATATATCAAGAAAAGGAAAACTATATTAAAATATATCTCATAGAAGAAACTAGTTGTTGAATGGAACGTTCTTCACTTTAATTTCATTTTATATTCATTCATCGAAAGTAATCGAATTTATATAATTTCATTACTTGAATTTCATTAATCTACATCTAGGTGGTATACGTTGGAGATGGAGCAGCGTATGTACCAGTACCGTCATTGAAAGGAAGACCGTTGAGCCCGAATCTTCAAGCTCTTCAAACTCTCCAGGGTTTGCAAGGAATACCAGGAGGTGGAGGCACAGGGGTAGTCGGGGACGAGGAGTGGAAGAGGCATCCGGAATCTTGGGATCGGGAGCACAGGAGATACAGGCCTAATACCACTCGTGTTCAACGTAAGCGATTCAGAAATACTATGAAATCTTTTACGAACAATTTAGAATTCAACCATAAATAACAACGAAAAAGGGGGGAATAAAGTAACCAGCAAGGTTTTGCACAAACGTATACAGATATTTCAAACACCAAGATCCTCGTATAATAATTTAATCGTTCACTGAACAGGATCGAAACTTTTCCCAACTTCTCCCAAAATACTCCTAACCTATACATTCATCATACCCGACCTTGGTCACTTTCATCCTATCATTTCTAAATCCTCGAGCCCAAGATTCTCCAATAAGAAGCCAAACGCTTTCACCCTCGAGAACCGTTACCACGTCTCCGTTATTGCCGCCATTTCTCCACGGATCCAAGTGCCCGTCCACGAAGCGATTTGATCGATCGATCCATCGTACCTCGTGGCCGTCCTCGACGCTGGTCTGGCATTCGGAACACGAGCGGCTACCGTTAGAGTGGACGCAATTAAAACGGTGTCGGCAAGTCGTACGGCACACCCGACGCCTGAGAAATCAACGCGTCTCTCCTTTCCCTTCACTTCTCTATTATCCTCGCGTATCTCTGTCCGAGATACACTCCTCTCCTCGATCTTATCCCGAGGACGTGGTGACCCGTGGAGGCCGTAATTCGCGAAATTGCGAGTTTTTCCCCAATAAATAAATCCGCGAGGGCGTTGCCTCCTCCTAGATCGTAATCTTTGAGATACACGAGGGATCTCGACGAGAGAGAGTAATTGCTCGAGGGTCAAGGGCGGCTTGATCGAGAGGTAAATTGATACGAATCGTCGTGGAACAGACGTTCCCGAAATAGACGTCTAAGAGATCGTCGAGCGAGTTGGAGAGCGTTTCTTCTTGGTCCCGATGAAGACGTAAAGGGCCTCTCTGCGGGAAACGTGGCGGCCACCCGCGGCATCGTCGATTACGCGAAAGAAAGCCCATTAGCTTTAATCCATCCTCCTGTGCACCAGCGTTTCTACGTACCCGCGGGGTCGAGAGTTTGTCTCTTCATCATTGTCCGTGAGCTATCCTTTACGACCGTGATCCGTTACCTTTTATTTTATTATTGGCATCTTTTGTATGAGTGATTTATCGAAAACGAGTGGCGGGTAGTGGTGTGTAATACAAGAGGAATTCTTTTTAAGTAGATTTTTCTACGTATTTCGATTACGTATTTTAGTATAAAGTCTGAAATTTTTATTGTCTATATTTTATATTGATTGCAAATTTTTTCAGGAAGCAAATATTGGTTTTATTGCTTTAAAATGGTGTTGAAGTAGTATCGTGGTATGCAAATGATCTAAGTTAAACTTTGTTGTATGTATGAGGTAAATATAATCGTTTAGAAATTGCTCTAGTCCTCCAGTTCGGTATTTAGCAATGAGAGAAAAACTTAATCTGCATCGTTCTCTTCTGCATCTAATGGAAATTAATCTATATATTCATAATCGCATTAAAACAAGAGCATGCGAGCAAACGATCTTTTTAGGAAGAACTAACTAAATTATTGTTAGAGGAAGAACGATGATCAAGTTAGATATACACCTGGTATTTTCATAATTAGAGAGTGTTTAAGAGCCGTCAGGATGTTGGTCTTTTTACACTGCGATTCAAGAATTCAAGGTAACGAGATTTAAATGAAAGGCCGAGGTTTAGAATCTACGTTTCGTACGTTCCACTTCCTGAAGGAGGTAGATACTCTGCTTATTTTGTTCTCTGGCTAGGTTGTAATCAAAGTGAAATAGGGCTGTTTAAAACGAGATCTTTGGAACGAGGGATCGTAATTAAATCCTACGAAGAGCATCAAAGATCCAACATCGATGCGGACGAGATGTTGGCTATCCCTTTCAAACTTTTCAAATTACCTGTCACTCACCTCGTCCCTCGTCAGTTTCGCGAATCAAACACAAATAACTTGACCTATTCCTATCCTATTCGATATATTTTACGTGCAAATTTATATCTATATAACATATATATTTACAGAAAAGATTGTCATATAATCCTCATAAATCTCTGAAAACAATGGATGTTTAGATTTCAATTCAATTAGAATTCAATTCATTAATATATCATACATATTGTCTTTCACGGTGAATATTGCTTCGCAATAATTTATTCATAGAAAGACGATTATGCATAATATAAAGACACATTTACGTAACCATAATACAAAATTACTTTCCTTATTTCCTTCCTATATTGCGTAAAATTAATAGAAACGTGGCAATCGTATTTTTTATTTATCTTTAAGCACCCTTAATTCCTCTCGAACAATAAAATCGCGTCCCGATTGTCCGTTCGATTTTACAATCGAAGCTAAAAACTTTCTTAAACTTCTTCTTCCCCATAAATTCGAGGTGGTTAAACGCGCGGACGAAATCGCGAGTGAAGAATGTTCCCCGCTCCCCTCTCGTCTGCTCGACTACGTGTACTCGGGCGACTATCAAAAGTTGCGTAACCGCAACTCCATTGTTTGCTCTCGTACGTTTTGCCGGCCGACGAGCACGAAGTACGTATCCGCAATTGTAATAAGCGTGCGTGCATGCCGGTCGAAAACGCGTAACACGCGTGTGCCCAGCCAACTACGCGGCTTTTTCCATCCGGAGGGGAGGGAAAAAGGAAAGGAAGGGGGAGAAGAGCGTTCTCCCGGCGAAACGTTGTATCATCGAGAATCACCTCGAGTGTGACTATCTGCAGCCTCCATCTAACGCCGTCCATCTTCCACCGCTCACGTGGTGGATTACGTCGTTTTACGATGGAAACGGCTCCTTACCACGAACAGCGCCTATAAAAGGGGGGAGGGGGGCTGGCTGGCCGGTTTACTTTCACTCGTCATCGGCGACCGGTTTTCCGCTGCTTTCCGCCCACCGGATGGATCCCCCGATTTTCCGACCGTTTCGACACGAGGCCGCGCGATGTTTCGGCATTGCGGCCGCTTTCTTGCTTCGTTGCCTCGTTAGGGCCGATTTATCTGTCGTTTACGATCGCGAAACGAAACCTGGACGGCGATGACGAGTCGTTTGCCTCGTGAAAATCGATCGTGTCGGTGGGAAAGTTGGGTGAAAAGTGGTTTTTGAAAAATGCGCGATTTAGGAAAAGGGAATATTTTGGCACTTTTTAATTTAGGAGAAGATTATGTTCGAGATTTTACAAATAGATTTTCATCAAAATTATTCAAATTATTATCAATAACGGGAAAATAATAGGGATCCCTATTATTACAAAGATATTAAACCATAAATTGTAGAAAGCTTTTGATATAAATTTTAAAATAATACAGAATAGAGATTATTCAATCATAATAGATCATGTTTACAACATGTTTCAAAAATGAGGTAACATAATTAAATCTCGTAAATCTAACCAAAAAAAAAAAAAAATTTTGCAGATATCGAGGCGGAATGCCAGGACGACTACATGAAGATCAGGATCGGTTTCAACGGTTCCTTCACCGGTCTCCTCTACTCGGCTGGTAAGTTAAGAAAACTCAACATGAGAAGCGGGAATCGCGAACGTGCCGGCGAGCATCCGCATCAAAGGACGTGCTATCACGTCCTCTCTGTACGAGCTCACACGCTGTTCGCAATCATCATCTCCGCGGACGCAACGCTCGAAACTGCCGCGATGCTGACGAGCTAATGGCACAGCGTTATCGTGAAACGATCTCCTCGGGAGGCTCGCCACAGCGAGAGACGTAGAGCACGTAGAGAGGGGAGAAGAAGAGAGAGAATTTTCCTTTTTCCAAGGCGAGACCAACGCATATGGTCGAATCCTCCACTTCCGTTATTTTGAAAGGGGTATAACGCATTGCCCGCTCTTTGCACGATACACGCGATGCATCTGCAAATAGCACGTCCTTCTTGATCATCGTCCTGCTTATAAATTATTCCTATTCGCTCTTATGAATTTGGAAGAGATATTATCATTGTTTTAGAGATTCGATTAATTGTTGTTAGAGTTCCTCAATTAGGAAGAGAAATATGAAAAAAATAAGAATATTTGCTTATTCGTTTGTAAATATCGATGATATCGATTATTGATAGCGCCAATTATTTTCAAAGATCACGAGATGTCTTATTATACGAGCATAAATAATCGAACAAGTCCGTTCAAAGAATTGGAAAATTCGAAAGTGTTCGTATGATAATCTGTTATCAATAATAATTTCAATTAAAGGTTACTCTTACGACCCGGACTGCATGTACGTGAACGGAACAGGTCGAGACTACTACGAGTTCTACATTCAGTTGAATCGTTGCGGCACCCTTGGCGAGAACACCCATCATCAGGACAGTCGAAAAAATCCTACGGTAAGTAAACCAGGCGTGCAACTTGGCGCACGACGTGGTTCGTTACCATCGCAGCGTGACCACTTGACAAGGAATAATAATGATTAACGCACGAGAAAAAGAAAAGAAAAGAAAGAAAGAAAGAAAGAAAGAAAAAAAAAAAAGAAAAGAATCGATACGATTTTTGTTTCGCGTTTTATCTCCACAGTCAACCAACTCGACGTATTAATATACGCCCAACTCGTGCCATGTTAGAGAGGTTTAGCAATTATGAATCGCAAATCCGCGCCGACGTTAATAATTCTGTTACGCTCTCCTGTGATTTATTAAACACGCGCGCCGTGATTTATATCGGGTGCACTAAACTGTATCTATTTGCTTCCCTAGCTGCGATTAGACTTGGAAAGAAATAGTAAATTGAGCTTTTAACGATGAAATTTCGTTCTGGAAGTAGTTTGTGCGCGTTTGTTTGCGTGATGAAAATAATAATTAACTATACTCGTTAAACGTAAATACATTTATCGTATTTGAATTAATTATAAAGAATTAATTATAACAATACAAGATTATTTTTAAAGATGAATATTAATTTTATTATCCAAAAAAAATTCATTTATACAAATATTATCGATACAATGTATCGATAATATTAAAATAGATACTGATATAGTGTAATACATATATAATATTAATCAATTTAATTAATTTCGAACATGTATATTTCCATAAAAATTGTCTACTTCGTTTCTTTATTCCGACAAAAGAAATACATTTTTCACATTTTTTACAAAAACTTTCAATCTTTTATCCGCAAAAGATATTTCACTTCTTTCACTCGTCGAACATTTTTCTGCATATTATCCTATCGATCTAAACGTTCCATTTCTCATTTTGATCTGTTTTCATGGCAGAAAAACCTGATGTGGAACACGGTCACGGTGCAGTACAACCCGCTCATCGAAGAAGAATTCGACGAGCATTTCAAAGTGACTTGCGAATACGGATACGACTTCTGGAAGACCGTCACCTTCCCCTTCCTCGACGTCGAGTAAGCGGTTGAAAATCTTTACGATCAATCTCTCATCTTGAAGAAAATTATCGCTTATTAGTCGATGCATATTTCTTTCGCTCTTGTCCCAGTGTCGGTTAACGGGAAGCCGGGATGCAAAGAGACCAGAAACCTCTAACGCGGATATCTTCTTCCAGAGTCGCGACGGGGAATCCCGTAGTGTTCACCCTGCAGCCACCAGAGTGCTACATGGAAATCAGATACGGTTACGGGACCACTGGAACTAGAGTGGCTGGACCAGTCCGCGTCGGGGATCCACTGACTCTCATTATCTACATGCGCAGCAAATACGGTATATATAGCGGCACGCATTTTCGCTTTGCACCGCTCCGTAAGGCCGGAGGCTTGCTTAATCGCGTGGCGCTACGTAACATCTGTCGGGTGTTACCTCCTCGGGATAACGGGACGCGAACAGCTCTGGTTATGCCACACGGATGTGTTTTCCCTTCGAGGATCTAAAATTAGTCGCGTACAACTTTTTCTTCCAGATCAATATTTAACCCTTTGCGGATCCAACTTGCGATTAAGCGAAATAAAATTCAGCATATAACGTTATACGTTATTTTACAACAGGATCGTTAATAAAATATATATTTTCCTTTGTACCTGATATTTAAGGTATATTTAATTTAGCATCTCGTTCGTTGGAAGATATCCTTGACCTATTGGGAGATAGGAGAATGAGAGAATGCTCGTCCGCAAAGGGTTAATTGCCAATTGACGAAGAAGGCTGCTGTGTTCCACCGGATCCGGAAAGATTTTCTTTTCTATATTTTGAGAATGGATCGATGGAATGTCAAGTTGATTAGAACGGAAGGGAGATGTATTTGTATAGATTTATCTATACAATCGAGGAATGAATTATTACGATAGATGATAATAATTCGTGTGACGCTCATATTGTTCATATCGGATGATATCAGTCATAAATAAAATTCGTATAATAATTTATCGATAATTTCTCGTTCAGATGATAAAAGTTCGTGGTTAGATGAGTATTTTGAATCGACGGTAATTCAATTAAACGAGCACTATATAAAATTTTCTTCCACCGAATGAACTTGAGATAAACGGGCTTCCGCTATACAGTTTCTGCCTCTGTGTTCGCAGATGGTTTCGACATTGTCGTAAACGATTGCTACGCTCACAACGGCGGAAATAAAAGGATCCAGTTGATCGATCAATACGGATGTCCTGTCGACGATAAATTGATCAGCAGATTCCGTGGATCCTGGTCCGAGAGCGGCCTTTTCGAAACTCAGGTATTCGCCTATATGAAAACGTTCAGGTTCACCGGTTCGCCAGCATTGTATATTGAATGTGACGTAAGAATGTGCCACGGAAGATGCCCGGTAAGTATAACAGGAAGATAAGTTGTCGAGGGTCATTTTATCAAAAACTGTACTCTTAGAACAATCTGTTGCTACGAAATTATTTATAATCGCGCAGAGCCAACCGTGTCACTGGAGAAATGCCAAAAACGTAGCGAAACGTTCTTTGCCAGAAATTGGTGGTCCATCGACACCAGCGACGAGTCTGTCAGAGAATGTGAATCTCTTCCAATCGTTACGTGTACTTCAAGAGGGCGAGGCAGATACAGAATTCTTCCAGAATTCTACTACGGCTTTTCGAAGTGGTAACTTCAATTGAATTAATTTCTATTTTTAAAATATTAAATCTAACAGATCATTTATTTTTTATTAATTTTTATATTATTTTTATATCAATTAATTTTTGTATTATAGGAACCAATGAACCCACGAACGATAGAGTGTGCCTTAGATCTACAGTTCTTAGTACGATTATAGGAATCGGTTGTGGCTTCCTCTGTCTAATGGCAGGAACGATATTAGCAATGTGTTCGCGAATTCGGCGACAAGCTAGGGAAAAACTTCTATCCGACAGCATAAGTTATATGACCCATAAAGGTAGAATTAACTGAACGCGATCACTTTGCATATTTTATTCTTTTTCTCTTCTTCTTCGTTGCGTTTCCGTCGGTATAAATGTTTGAGGAAATTGCCGGAGGAATATCCCCTGTTGGTAATAATGCGAGGAAGAATACCGCAATCGGTAAAAATGGGAATAAGCTCAATACTTTCGATCGACGGTTGTTAAAAACCAAGACCAAGTCCACAAATCATAATGTATTTAAAAATTGTGTATCTAAAGTTAAGGATATTTGCCACAGACGAAGTATAGATGTGATATTTTTGGATTTTTCCATGTTTTCAAATACCGAGAAAAAAGGTATCACACACGATATTACCATTTTTGATTTACGTCACTCTATTTTTCTTTGTAACGAAAAATGTTTCAAATAAAGGTTGAATGTTTTTAAGAGAAATATATTCTGATATTAATTACGTTATTCTAAAGATTAAATTATTTTCTTTAAATAAAACTATATATTTTTTGATACAATAGAAGATTCGTTATATTCTTTATAAAAAAATACTAAACTATTTATAGCAAAAATTTATTAGTTTAGGAGATATTCAATTATCTCTTAAACTAATCATTTTTTGACTTTTATGGTCTATATGTATTTTTTTTTTTTATAGAGAATGTGATGAAAAAATAGAAATTGAATTAAAAAATATATATATTCATTTAAAAAAATAAAATTGATCTTTGTATTTACGTATCAACATGCAAAAGAATTAATAACAGTAAACTATATCCCATTTTAAACATTCAATTTTTATCTAAAACGTTTTTCAGTGTGATCAAAAATATATATACGAAATATTACGTACATCATATGATTGATATATTGTGTAAAAAATATCGAGTATCTTGCATAACTTTATTATTTAAAATATTTCGAAAAGTATTAAAAAATCAAATAGAAGTTAAATGTCAATAAGAACATATGATGTAATTATATTTCCTCTTGAAAGAAACATAAATGCTATATATTAATGTTTTTTTCTATAAATAGAATTATATACTTTTTAATATATATATAAAAATGACGTCAAATTCCAGAAATCACAACTCATATCGTGGAAGAGGAAAGAAAAATTTGGCCAAAAATTGTGATTTTGTATTAGGAGAACATAATATGATAGGAAGTCAATCGAGAAATTTTTCCAGGCTTCTTAGAAATGACGTCAAATTCCAAGAATTATCTAAATCGTGGAAGGGGAGGGAAAAATTTGGCCAAAAATTCGATTTTGTATTAGGAGAACATAATATGATAGGAGGTCGATCGAGAAATTTTTCCAGGCTTCTTAGAAATGACGTCAAATTCCAGGAATTATCTAAATCGTGGAAGGGGAGGAAAAATTTGGGCTAAAAATTCAATTTTGTATTAGGAGAGCATAATATGATAAGAGATTCGATATGATAGGAGAATTTTTACATCAAATATTTTTATGATATTTTGTATAGTTAGCTATGAATTATTTACTTTTTGTATATTTATCCTTTGCAGTAATCATTTTTTTACGATTTTAATTCAGTTTTTCATCAATTTTCTTAATTCTAAGAATACTTTTCATTCGAATATTGAGAATTATTTTCTGCAACATTTAACATTCAAACATTTTTTGATAATTTTCTTAATTTTTTAATAGAGAATTTGAGAATATAGCTATTTGTTTATATTATAAATATTTATTTTCTTTTATATTTATCGTACGCATTCGTACGATTGATATATACTATTTGTCTTGTAATTAATATCAATTATTTTTAATTAATGTGAATTAATATCAATGAATGTTAATGTAAAGTTTTAATTCTCATCTCTACAACGTTTTCGTGTACTGAATCGATGTGTACACATCGATAATATCGCATGTGATACGAAAATGGTAAAGTGGTTAGGTAACTATTAAATTTCTATGATACAATAAATCTTTATATATATCACATTTATTTTATTGCTCGTCTGTGTTTAAACGTATGAAATTAAATTAGGAAAATTGAGATATATTGTGATAAATATAATTAGGTATCTCTATTCCTTTCCTTTTTCTTTCTTTTTATACAATTAATTAGCCGTCGATGAAACGAAATGTTGTTGATCGTCAATGATTGAATTTTTATTCTCTAATGTTAGTTTTTTTTTTTTTTTTTTTTTT